CTCTATCCTGGCGGGGGAGGGACGCGGAGAGGGGGAGGAGAGAGGGGCGGGGAGAGCGCGGCGCCAGACCATACAAGGAGCGGCCCGGAGAGGGGGGCGGGGAGAGCGGGAGGGCCGACGCGGCAGGAAACTCCCCCAGGAAGGGGCCCAGGTCTTGCCCCCGGGCCACAGCCTCCGTCAAGGTCCTCCCGCCCCGGCCCCCGCCCCCGCCGCTCGGCCCGCCGAGGACCACCCCTCCCCGTGCACAAGTCTCTGATGTCATTTCCTGACTTGCCCCCCTCCAGGCCCGACCCGCGGTGCCCGAGGTCTGACTCACCGTCCCCACTCCGGGACATGCCGGCGAGGTCAGTCGGGTGTCTCCGAGGTGCCGAAGCAGCCCCTTTGCGCTCCACCCCGACTCAGCCCCCTCCTCTCCCGGCCTCCGCTACCTGCGCCCGCCACCTCCCCACACCGCTGCCAGCCCCGCGCCCCAAATCCTCTCCGGGGATTGGCAAGACTAGGATAAAACTGGGCTCCAGGGTGGACGGAGATGGTGAGTGGGCGTTCTCCCTTCCCACACCCGCCACCCAGGCCCTTCCGTGACCTGGGTGGGCGGGCGTGTGTGTGTGTGTGTGTGTGTGTGTGTGTACGCACCTCGTGGGCAGCCCCTTGAGGCTTCTAGGAATTCGCATCACCCGCGTCCCCGCCTGCAGATCTCTCTGTTAAGATTTGCGGGAGGGAGAGGCGGGGACGTAGGACCCCGGGAATGGGGGTGGAGGGAAGCGGAGGCGGGGGGCGGCCGGCCAGGAAGGAAGAGCGTGGACGCGGGTGAAACGCCTTCGACAGTTTTTCAGCGCCCGCAGTGACCCCTCGAGGAGCCTTTGGGCAGCCGGGTGGCCCTGGGGAGATTCGGAGACTGCGCTCGGTGGAGCCCCCCACTGGTCCGACCGGATTCCTCTGCCTTGGACTGAGCTCCAGGCTACGAAAAAAAGACAGACCTGGGTTCACTGAACACTGAAACTAACCAAACTGCCGCTTGAATTCTTGCACACTCACTACTTACAAACTATGGAGTCATTTGGCCTCTCAGCCTGTAAACCCAATATATCACCCTCGGGCGCTGCCTTTTCTCTGCCTTCTAAGGCAGTTCCCTTGCGCATGCCCTACTCTGTTTCCAGTTCCTTGGCCCTTCAAATCGGCTACAGCCTATTGTCAAGGAGCATTTGGGCTCTGCTGGAGAGATCGTCCAGACCCACCCCTGACATTTACCAGAAGGAATCAGGCTGGGAGCTCAAGAGAGGGGCCCGCGGTCACACAGAACTGCTGCCTTGAGGGCTCCAATGTCAGCAGAGCTCACTCCCCTACACCCTGGTGTCAGGTGAAGCATCACTGGAGACAGGAATGCAGAGTGAGGTCAGGGTGCAGAGACTAGCTTGAGTGTCCATCCTCTCCGCTTCACTTTCTCTGTGTGTAAAAGAGTGGTGATATTTAATCTACTTACTCTATTGCATTAAGTGGAGAAATAAATGAAATTCAATATCTGAAGTGTTATATAATACTTGGTATTATTATTCAAGTCCCAGTTCTGTCCAGAATGGAAATTCTGACAGGTTAACCTAAGAGCGTTATTCCGTATGTTCCCTTCTGAGTTGCCAAGCCAATCTCCTCGGCCTTGGGGTATGCAATGCCTGCCTCTTCCTTCAACCTTATCAAATACTTAATTACGCCTAACACTACATCTTCGTCTCCTTCTCAGAACCCACTGATCGGTCTTTTCTCTGGTGTCTCATTGTCTTGGTCACGGGTGTTTCACACTGCCGTAAGCATGTGTGGCCACGTATGATATAAAGCACGTTGTGCAGGTATCAGCTGGTCCTGGGCTTGTCCCTATGAAGATAGGCTAGAAATTTGATGCTGGATTTCTGTGCAGATTGGAAATGGTGACTTGGGCTTTACAGACCAAAAGTCTCCTTGCCAATCCTTCAAAATATACCCACTTGTTGGGGAAAAGTTAGGAAGATGGTTTCCAGATAGTGTCACAAGAGGAAAAGCCATTTACAGTCTAAATGTCTCCTTAAGGAATGTGCATGTGCAAAAATATAGTATGTTTAATTGCTAGGCAGCTGAACCTATTTATAAATCAAGAATAGAAGAGTGCGTAGGCAGGCTTATTTGTACTGACAATTTAAAAATAACGCATTTGGGATGCAGAATATTAAAGCTGAGTTTCCAGCCAGCCATTCTAAATACAAGTAGAAACACACAGAGTATCTATCCCTGCACAGGTTTGCTAGGCCAGGATGTCTCTAGCAGAGCTGCAGGGTCAATGTGTTAAAAGGCACCTGGCAATCAGGGAGTGGCCCTAATGATTCTTAGGAATTTTTCTTAAGTCAACAATTCTAATTGACCTCAGGTAGAATGTATAAAAGATAGCAAGTACACAGATGTTCCCACCTAATCATTTCCAACAGCTTGGGCCAGGCAAGAAGAGGAAGTAAAAAAATGTGCAGGACCCTTTGCTACCTAAAACATCTCTACAGGCCTCTGAGAATTTATGTCCACCAGGTACCAGAAAGTTTTCTTCAAGGGTCATACAACATAAAGTAAGCAGTTAGAAGCAGCCAAGAAAAAAAAAGGAAGGAACAAAGGCAGTGGAAAAAAAAGAAGAATTTTCTGAAATGAAGAGAGATGCTATCGGGTTCTTTCTGTATACTGGCTGCAGATGGCCAGAGGGTCAGTTTTGTACCAGGCACTGTGCTAGGCACTCTAGCAACAGCAACCACCATAACATCAGCAATAATAATAGCACTCACTGTAATAAAGCTTAGCACATGGCGCTAGGCACAATACTTAACACTGTAAGCAAAAAGGCCCCATTTAATCCTCACAACCAACCTGTAAGGAATGTACATTATGATCCCATTTTTCAGTTAAGGAATTTGAGGCCAATTAGCTATTGCATTTTTCACCTCTTAAACTGCAGAAGAAAATTTTTGTAATGCAAATATTTTATGTGAAGACACCCCTGCTCCCCCCTTACATCCTTGCAGTCCTCACTTCTTCCCTTCAGGAGCCCCAGTCTGGTACATCAACAACCTCTTCAGGTCAGCTTCAAGTCCATTCCCCACTCTAAGTCCTTCAACCACCATTTTCTTTTTCCATCACATTGCAACATCAAATTCTGTCTTTCTCTTTACCTGTGTGTGTGTGTGTGTGTGTGTGTGTGTGTGTGTGTATAGAGAAAAGATAGAGGGGAGAGAAAGAGAGAGAGAGAGAGAGTTTTGTCTAGTATAAGTTTTCCAGAAGGCTTCTCCAAGTATTGTTAAAAGTGGTTGGTGCCATGGCTGGTGTGTTCAATGGTTAGAGCATCAGCCCACACACCTATGGGTCAAGGGTTCAATTCCTGGTCAAGAGCATGTACAGTACATGGGTTGCAGGTTGGATACACCACCCTGGTAGGGGCGTGTGCAGGAGGCAACCAATCAATATGTCTCTCTCACGTAGATGTTTCTCTCTCCTGCCCCCCACCCTCCCACTCTCTCTGAAATGGAAAAAATTATCCTCCGGTGAGGATTAACAAACATAAATAAA